CTACATCCCCAGCCCTCTGGTAGTTCAAAAACTACCTCCCTCTGTGCTCTCTGATCTCCCCACTTTCTCCCATGGATTCCAAAAACCATGGCTCACTCATCTCATAACCACCACAACCATGAGTCTGAAATGTATGCTAGGACTAAGTACTTACTGAACTAAGTGATGTGTACCACCCCCACCCCATATGCAGAGGCCAGAGGTTGACCCTGGCGTCTTCCTCAGCTGCCCTTCACCTTCTTTTTTGAGACAAGATTTCTCACTGAACCTGAAGCTCACCATTTTGGCTAAGCTGGCCATCCAGTGAGCCCTAAGATCTGCCTCTCTCCACCCACCCAGTCCATACCTAACTTCTAGGTGGGTACTAGGGGTCCAAACTCAGGTCCTCATGTTGGCTTGGTGCCACTTTCCTGACATAGCCATCTCCCCAGACCCTAATATTACCTTGAATGAGCAAAAACCTATAACTTTCAGTGATTCTTTTCAAATCAACTCATTACTCAAACTAACTTTGTTATGTAGTTAAGATTATAAACATGTTGCACTCCAACACAGACAAAATTCTAGTGAGAAAAAAATATGCTATATCTTGCGCTAAATTAATAATGCCAAGCAACTAAGCTTAAAAGATTAAAAGTGAGAACAAAAGAAAGTTAACTGTCACTAAGAGTTTTCTATATAGAACGATGCTCAGTTAAATGGGGAAGGTTTTAAAACTCTGAACCTCAAACCACAGGAAAACTGATGCACTTAAATATTTTAAGTGTTTCTTTTTATTGGTGAGGTTTTGATGGAATCAGTGTTAATCTCTTATGGAAAGGGAATGCAGACACACAGAGATTTCAACTTTACCCTTTGTGGTGTTTTAGAACAGCCTCGTTCTGCAAAATTTATAAGAATCTGGAAACAGTCAGATTTTCCCAACATCTGTATTAAAATGTGGAGGCAGAGAGTGGAAAGCACAGTGGGTTTTCTTCTAGCGTCCTTAGTCAGCTTCTGAAACAGGGACCAATGTAGCCAGGTGTGATGACATGCACCTGTAGTTCCAAGTGCTTGGGAGGCTGAAGCAGGAGGACCACTTGAGCCCAGGAGTTTAACACCAGCTTGGGTGCTATAGCAAGAGCCTGTCTAACAAAAAAAAACAAGCAAAAGGGCACAGTTCAAATTGTTTTCTTTTTAAGGAAGTACAAATCAATAACTAAACTACCTATCTCCTCTTTTAAAAAGCTGATACTGGTGACCACATAAAAGAGTGACCAGAAGGAACCCTGCACCAGAAATCAAGGAAACAGGATGTGAGGCTCAACTCAGATCTGACTCAGAATGAAATCTTTGTGATCGCTCTTTTTAATGCCATCTTTTCACGATGAAGCTCGGCTCTATAATGCAGACAGTACCAAGAATGGACCCATACCTGGAGGCCTCATTTGTACTTCTGAAAACTAGATTAAATATTAGAATGTCACTTCCAACAGCTGCTATATCATAAGTACTCGAAAGAAAATCAATGTGTACGAGATAAATGAATTGATTTTGAATACCCTTATTAAACATCATTCCAATATTGTTAGTATGGTTTGAGGCATTTTTAGCAAAAGATTGTTCAGTATATCCTATTAAAACAATATTTCTTTCTTTTTTCTTTTTTTCTTTTCTTTCTTTTCTTTCTTTTTGTCTTTTTTTTTTTTTTTTTTTTTTTTTTTTTTTTTTTGTCTTTTTGAGACAGGGTCTCCCTGTAGCCTCAGCTGGCCTGGAACTAGCTATGTAGACCAGGCTGGCCTTGAACTCACAGAGATCTGTCTGCCTCTGCCTCCCAAGTGCTGGGATTAAAGGCGTGTACCACCATGCCAGGTTTAAAACAATATTTCTCTTTAAGAAGGCAAAGTGACTCTCAGGTTGGGAGTGGTGGCATATGCCTACAATTTGAGCATTCAAAGGTTGAGGCAAAAGGATTAGGAGTTCAAAGCCAGCTTCAGCTATAAAAAGAGTTTGAAGCCAGACTGGCTACCTGATACCTTGTCTTAAATTTACAATCTACAAGGGCCTGGAAAGATGGCTCAGTGGTTAAGAGCACTGGCTGCTCTTGCAGAGGCTCAGGATTTAACTCCCAGCACATGGTAGCTAACGACTAGCTGTAACTCCAGTTCCAGGGGATCTGATACCCTCTTCTGGCCTCCATGGGCATTGCATGTGCATGATGCACTTCTATACATGCAGGCAAAACAGTCCTACACAGAAAATAAAAATAAGTAATTTCTTTAAGTCACAATTTCCATCTGGCTAGAGAATATGGTCATCTCTGCATCTCATCCAGGAGGTTTACATAAGAGCAGGATCATTTGACATCTAGAAATAGGATTAAAAAAAGAGATTTGCTAGAAATATCAACAAGAAAATCAAACTGGAAACTGATTCGATAAACCAACTATGCAACATGTTCAAAGTCTCCTCTTATTATTCCCTTCAAAAGAAAACACCCCAGACCATCAACTCCGCTGCAGAAAAGCCAGAGACTCACCATCCCCTGCAGTACAAGAAGCTGACCGATGAAACAGCATATAAGTTCCACAAATGACTCAAATTCCACAATGGATTCTGAACATTTTGATGAGAATGTAGGTCTCTGAGACAATAGTCAAAACCAAGTAATTTACTTGGAAGCTTCAAGAAGCGCTAAGCAGGGAACAAGGGCGATACACATGAAGAAAGAAGGCGAACAAATGATCTAGAATCTGCATCAGCAGCTGTATACACTTTAGGCACTTGATATAAATACACTTCCCTTTATCATCCAATTCACATATCTCACGTTGAAGTCATCTACTCCTAAGCTATAAAATATACAATTTCATCTGATCTTTGCTTTTATACTTTTTTCTGAAGTCTACTTTGTATTCCCTCAAATTAAGAGTCTAAACATGGTGGGGTATTGTAGCAAACACCTTTGAGGCCAGGACTCAGGAAGCAGAGGCAGGTGGATGTCTGTGAGATTGGGCCAGGCTGATCTACCTAGCGAGTTCCAGGCCAGATGCGGTTACAACCCGTCTCAAACAAACAAAAAGAGTCTAACATACTTATGTTTTAAATTCTTTAACACCAACTTTGTCTCAGTTAAATTGTAAAGCCAGTTGTGAGGGCTAGAGAGATGGCTCAGTGGTTAAGAACACAATCTGTTCTTGTAGACGACCAGAGTTCGGTTCATAGCACCCACATCAGGCAGCTCACAATGGCCTATAACCCAGCTTCAGTGGATCTAACAGTCTTCTGGACTCTGCAGGCAACTGAACTCAAACCTGCACATGCCCACACACAGACACATATAATTAAAAAGAAATAAATCTTTTTTAAAACCAGTTGTGTCCATGATAGCAGTCATAATGATCCATAATACAGGCATGAAGAAGAAGGCTGGTCCATGTGAGAAGAGCTCAAGCCACACAAGCACCTGGGGAATCCTCTGTGACACTGGAATACTGGAAGTCATTTTAGCAGTTCCAAAAATACACACTGTCACAAAACCATGGAAAGGGACTAGATCTACAACTTAACTGGCAAGATGTATTTCACAAATAATGACAATTCACTGGCTTTCAACAAATAGTCCTTAACAATGTTCCAATCTATTTTCCTTCTTAGGCTGTAGGACAGCTCTATGACAAATTAGTACCTTTATTCTATCCTTTTTTTCTTACTGTGTATGTAGTTAAAATGGGATAACATGCCAAGGTCCTTTTCTCAATCTGGACTACCATAAGCACTTGATAAACATTATGCTTGATATAAAAATTAGTTCAGAGAATTCAGGAAATAAGGCTGAAACTAGTAAGTGGATGACATTGTTGGTTCCTTAAATAAAGGGGACTTATTGCCATTCAGTACATCAAAGATTGCCTAGTCAAGAGCAATTTAAATTATTTAGGTTTTAGATTGTTTAATCTAACTTTAATGAATTCAAGAGAAATGAAAATGAAAAACACTGACCAGTACATCCGATAAACAACAGCACCACTATGGAATGGGATTCTTTTCTAGCGGAGATTTGCCTACTTATGTAAGACTCACAGCATACTACCAAAGACACTGCTCCACTGAAACAATCCCTCACACAAAGTGGTCACAGTGTTAGAAACCAGCCGCCTCTCACTGAAGGGAATGATCCATCTAGATACACGGATCTGCCTGATCTAAGTCACTGCTCCCCAAATCTCATGTGGAAAGGACCATTTGCTCAGGCTATCGTCTTCTGGTACTTTTGCAAAATACATTCATGATGAATTGTTGGAAAATTGACTTGTTTGGTTTTGTTTGGGGTTTTATTTTTTCATTATTAGTGTGTATCGGTGTGATTGATGTGTGGACATGAATGTGAACAGGCACATGCTCTGATGAGAGGTCAGAGGACAATCCCTTGGAGTTAGTTTTCTCCTTCCAACACAGTATCCAGAAATTAAACTCGGGTTGTCAGGCCTGTGTAGCCAAGCACTTAGCCACTGAGTCACCCTTCCATCCCAAAAGTTAACTTGAGGCTTGCAAAATATAAGCCTAACTTAATAAATTCAACAGACAAAATTATTCCCTAAGTTTCCTTTTTTAAAAGTTCACATACAAAGTATTTTATCACACACAGCGTTTTCATACACATATGTGATCTTACTTGATTCTTATTCTTCTTTCTCGCTGACACCCTCTGTCTCCTCCCTGCCCCTCTCTTGCTGGTCTCCTGCCTCCCCTCAAGTAACCATCCTCTCAAATTTATAAAGTGAAATTTGTAGCACTTCCTCTCAACTTCAGTACCTATCTGGCCAGCTGGCGACAAAGGCTTGTGAGCCACACAGGTGTAGGACCATACCGTTTCTCATTTGGGGGCATTACTGAGCATCAAACCCCAGACCTGAGCACTGCAGACATCTTACCACTGGGCCACACCCCCTCAGTTCCACACCTGGCACAGCACCGATCTGACGTACCATACATATATGTCTTCAAGAGATATACTTTACCTCTGACGTTCTTTCCAAATCCCATTGAAGAAACATTTTTTTCCACTTGTTCACTTGTGTTTGTTTTCTCCTTGATAACGTCATCATCACTAATGACATCAGCAGCAAATTTTTTCTTTTTCTTTTTCTTGTGTCGAGGTGGAAGCTTTTTTGGAAAAGTAAACATTGGGAATATCACAAGAAACATTGCAATGGCACAAAGCAGGAATCCACTCCACCTAAAAAACCGGGAAACGTGAGTGGTACTGATGGCTTCAGTTTTCTGTGAGAACAAATCAGAAAAGTAGAAGTTTTGCTGTGTTAAAATTCTCCAACAAAATCTTTTTACCTCCATCCATTATAAAGCAGTAGAAAATTGGAAAAACTCAGAAAATAAAGGTATTTCCCCCCCTTCTGTAGTAAAAATGGGAAATCGCAAATATTATACTAATAGTATAGTGAATATTGTGTCAGTAACCTGATTAGAATGTCATTCAAAAATTTTTTAGTAGCTGTGGAATAGTTCTGCTAACATTGCTCGTTCTCCTACAATGTGCATTTTACAATAATTTGTGTGTGTGTGTGTGTGTGTGTGTGTGTGTGTGTTGTCTGACTTTTTTGAGACTGGGTGTCATGAAGCTCAAAATGGCCTCAAATTGATTTAGTTCAACATGACCCTGAGCTCCTTATCCTCCTGCCTCTACCTTAAAGTGTTAGGATTACCACAACTGGCTATAATTAATTTAATAGAAAAATAATAAAGTATATAACATGCTTTATGGAACAATGCGGACCCTTTTTCCTTACAAGACGTGCATTAATAGCTCATGTCAAATATTTTGTTTGAATTATTGGTGCTGGAGATTGAAGCCAAAACCTTGTGTGTGCTAAGCACATGTGCTACCACTGAGCTACATTCCCGGCTTCATGTCCAATATATTTTAAATTGCTGATGGTATTCAAATAGTTTTGCAAGCACTTAAGAACATACTGAGTGCCCCCCACTTTGCCAGTTCTCCCAGTATTTAACGTTGGACACCAAGGCATTCAGACTTCATCTTTGTCTTGAAGAACTTGCAACTAGCTGTAAGCCAACCAAAAATATAGGAACACTCTCCAAGAAATGCAAGAATCCATACAGTTAACTGTTGAGTCATGTACTGCAGATGATATTCAAAGACTTCAGAAATGAATGTGTGACAGAAAGTGTCCTGAGAGATGTAAAATGTGAGCTATGTGCACTCCCGTGTTCTGTCTTTAAACTCATCTGAAGTCACCATGTTACAGAGTGCTCACAGAAAATACAGAGAATTGTAGCCATGTGTGAAAGTCTGGGGTTTTGTGCCTGTGCAGTTCCCTATGAGGTAATTTCTCCATCTCCTTCACCCCTTCCTTAACAAGCATAGATTCGTGGTCTTACTGACAAAGGTGGCCACTTCTAACCCTTCAGTGCCTCACTCTCCCCTTAGAACTTCCACATTATTAAATAAATGCTCAGACTTCAGCCTCTGTATCAACAGGTTCCCATCAGTCCTAATAAGTATTCAGGTAGCAGTCTAAGCACTAATTATGGATTCAAGCCAGTAAGAACATACATCAGGTGCAAAGGGAAAGTTTCAAGTAAAAGTTGTTTTCTGTGGACACGAGTCATGGTTAAGTTGCGAGAGTGATTCCTACCATCAGTTAATAATCCTGTTTGCACATTTCAAAGATAAAAGTACATCAACTTAAAATGTTAAAATAATCAGAAAAGGGCTTTGCTGTGAGATGAGGGCTCAGGGCAGACTTCTGGCAATCTCAGAATATCATCACCAATCTAGTGCCTAGGACAGATGAGGTGTTCAAAATTTTTGTTCAATAAATAAACTGAAAGAAATAGATTTAAAGTATGGGGCATGCACCAGTGTCAGGGAACATAGCTGTTAGTGCCTGGCTTCTTCGGATCTTGGCTGCTCACAGGCCCCACCCCACACCACCATTTACCTTTCTGGACTTAGAGTTCCCTGAGCCCCTTTCTCATCTAACCCTCTCATCATCTCTCCATGAGATGCCAGGCAGTAGCGGTGGGAGTGGTTTCTGAGCTGTAGTTTAGACACACCTGGGTTTGCATTCTGTCTTCACCACTTACTATGAGACCTTGGGGAAATTATTTTGTTTTTTCCAATTGACTTTCTCACTGAAAAGAGGGTAATAAATGCTTTTGAAAGTCCTCAAATTTAAAAAAGACAATGTACACAACAGATCTATTCAAATGCCTGCTCAAATCAGCAGTTAATTCTTGGTAACTCATTTGATGGTTTGGTTTGGTTTTTAATGTAGATCGACACTCAGCCTAGATTTCTAACCCTCCCCTACCTTGTGTGTAAAATTTCATACATTCAAGACACACTTTTGTCTAAAGGTTTTAAAAAAAAACTATTTATTATTATTAATATGTGCGTATGACTTGGGGAGAGCGCACATGACATGGTGCGTTTGTGGCGATCGGAGGACAACTTTGTGCAGCTGGCACTCTCCTTCAACTTTTGCATGGTTTCCAGGGATTGAGCTAAGGTTGCCAGGCTTGCACAGTAAGTGCATTTACCTACGAGCTATCTTAAAAGTCCTCAACTTATGCTCTTTTTTACTAAAAAAATTTTTTTGAGAATTTCATACATGCATACACCATATTTACATCATACAACTCCTTGGCAGGTACCCAAAGAACTCAATATCCTACTACAGAGATACTTGCTCGGTCATATTCATTGCTGCTCTAGTCACAATAGTCAGGAAACGAAAGCAGCCTAGCTGTCCATTAACTGATGAATGGACAATGAAAATGAGGAACATTGTACAATGGAATTCTATTCACATAAAGAATAAATGAAATCATGAAATTTGCAAGTAAATAGATGGAACTGAAAAATATTATACAGTGTGTAACCCAGACCCAGAAAGACAAACTCTGCCCAGAGAATTTTCAAATGTTATGAAGAAGAGTTCCCTGTCAGTGATAGGGAAATAACAAGGGGGTTTTGAGTTCTTGACTGATTGTGAAAATTTTGACCTCAGCTGATCTCTTTGCACATCTGAAATGAGTCAGAGTAGGCATTGTTTTACATTGTTAGAAAACCAGAATACTAGAATAGATTATAAGTGTCCAGTGTGTACCCTGTATCCTACTTAGAAGTTCTGAGAAAAGATTTGCTAAGAGTGTGCAATGGTAAAGTAGGGCTAGAAATCTGAACGATAAAGAAGGGTCCTTAGAAGAAATACAAACACAAGGAAGTGGAGAGGAAGCATTTTTTTTAAGCACAGAAAAGATAATGAAAGATAGAATTAAAGTAACTTTCAGGAAAATCTCCTTGGGGCTATGGTGGCCCTTTCCCTGCACTCTACCATACAGGCAACAGTCCAATCCTGGTAAATGTGGGTTAGGACCCTGTAACGAAAGCTTCAGTATTAGTTTCCCCTTGCTGCTATAACAAGTTATCACACACTCAGTGACTCAAACAAACCAAGTGGATTATCTCATAGGTCTGAGCATCAAGCATCTACAGATGGATTGGCAGAGCTGCCTTCTTCCCAGACGCCCTAACTAGAGAGGCTCCTATCTGCAGTCTTTGGCTCATAGCCCTTCCTCCATCTTCAAAGCAAGCTCCCCCAACCTCTGCTTTAATCAGCAGATCTCCTTTTCTGGCTCTGGTCTCCCTTCTTCCCTCTTTCTTTGATTAATAATGAGCCCACCCAGAACAGCTGAAATAATCTTCCCATCTCAAAAATCCTAAATTTGGAGGCCGAGGGTTGGCTCAGTGATTAAGAGCACTGGCTGCTATTGAAGAGGACTCAGGTTCGGCTCCCAGCACCCAGCAGCTAACAATCATCCGTAACGCCAGTTCCAAGGGATCTCATGCTCTCTTCTGGCCTTCATGGGTATTGCACACAGGTGATACACTTTCAATATGCAGGTAGACACTCATATATATATAAAATAAATAATAAATAATTCTTTTTTTAAAAATCCTTAACTTGGTTACCTCTGCAAAGTCTGTTTACCACATAAAGTCCCATATTCATAGGCTCTGGGGATTAGGAAATGGTTGTTGTGGGGAGATATTATCCTACCTACCATCTTTCTCCCAGATAACTTATAGCTATATTTTTTCTCTTTGTTGGGAAATTTTAAATAACAGAGTAATACTGATTGACTACCACTAGTAAGAAATGAAAGCAAAACAATCTTACCAGTTTCCAATGAAACGAGGGTCATTCTGGTCAAGGTGAACAGGATTTCTGGGATCAACATAAAAGCCGATAAGAAGTCCACCTAGTAAATATCCTGCTGCAGGGCCGAGCGCTCCCATGACATACATGATGGCTGAGGAGACAGAAGGGAAACTGATGTACAGCAGCCTTGCACAAGAGCTAATAGTTCTGATCTTACTGCCAAACAGGATGCATCACAGTGAGGTTCAGCGCATGTCCTCCAGAACATTCACGTTGACCTTTGGGCTTCAAACTTTGCCCTTTATTTCACTGCTTTCTGTTGTCTAACAACATCAGCCACCTGGAGAGCATTTTAGTTGCTTCTATTTTGACTTTTTAAAAAAAGTTATTTATGGGGCTGGAGAGTGGCTCAGTGGTTAAGAGCACTGACTGCTCTTGCAGAAGACCTAGGTTCGATTCCCAGCACCCACATGGCAGCTATGAGCCATCCTTAACTCCAGTTCCAGGGGAATCCAAAGCCCTCTTCTGACCTCCTCAGTCATGACACAGGTGCACTCACATACATGCATTCAATACACTTATACACATAAAATACAAATAATAAATAAAAACGTTATTTATTATGTGTATGAGTGTTCTGCCTGCATGTAAGCATCCATGCATGAAACATCCATGCATGAAAACCCTTGAAGGTTAGAAGAAGACATCAGATCCCCTGGAGCTAGAATTTCAGATGGTTGTTAGCTGACCTGGAACTCACTATGTAGACCAGGCTGGACTTGGTCCCACAGACATCCACCTCATGCCTACCAAATGCTGGGATTAAAGGCATTCACCATACAACTCTAACCTACATGTATGTAAGTGTACTTGTGCATGAAAACTCACAAAGGTCAGAAGAGGGCATCGGATCCCCCAGAACTAGTTTCAGATGATTGTTAGCTGCTATGTGAATGCTGGGAACTGAATCTTGGTCCTCTGAAAGAGCAGCCAGTACTCTTAACCTCTGGAAAAATAGCCAATGCTGTCAACTGCTGAGCCAGCTCTTCAGTTTTTACACCACAGCCTAGAACCACTAAATTCAAATTTCTTTTTTCATTAATATATGTTGACAATGCATACATAATAATGGGTTTCATTGTGGGATTTTCAGACATACGCATAATGTATTTTTTACCATATTCACCCTTGTTACCACTCCTTGTTCTCTCCCACTGATTCCCTTTCTTTTCCCACTTAGCCCCTACTCTACTGTCCTGCCTTTATTTGTTTTTATTTTATATATTTTTGATGACTTGGTGAGTTTCATTATCGCTGTTCACAGGGTCCTCGGTAAGGGATTTAAATTCAGATTTCTGAAACTAGAGACCCAGGCTAGTTAATGAGGTAATCATTGAAAAACCGAGAGAAAGCTTTAAAAAGAGAAAAAAGTAGAGATTCTCCAAGGAGAAGAAAAAAGCTATAGCTCTAAGAGTCTAGCAAGATGCAGGAACTCAGGGGGAGAGTTGGCCTAAGGCTGGATTCAATTAAATTGGAAAAGCCGCTCCAAATGATAATATTTTTTCCACCATTTTAGAATCAAATGAGATTTTGGAATACATGTGGTTCATTGTTGATTAAAAGGGATAAATCTTAAATGACGTGGCTCAGAAGATCCAAATGGAAAGCATCAACCACAGATGGACCAGAAAACAGCTTTTTTAAAAATATACGTCTAGCTCCCGCCCTCAGGCCTCTCTGGGGGTAAGTCTACCGTGCAGCCCTCCCCGCCTTGACTCGGCCAGCCGCACTCACCCTTCCATCTCCCCCGCTGTTCTCTACTCCTAGCTTGGGCCCTGTGCCATTCCTAGTCTTGGGGTCCCAGACACCTGGGGAGCCACTGCTGATTCCTGACCCTGTTCACCCCCACCGGCTTGGTGCCTTCCTTGGGCCCCACGAGCACTGCCTCCGGACACGGCCCAGCCCTCACCTCTCTCTGCTTCCCCGGACCTGCACCACCCGCTAACTCTCCTGGCCTTCTACCCTATCCTCAGGCCTCTCGGGGTGGGTCCATTGCGGAGCCCTCCGCGCATTGACCGCCACGGCCTCATTCGGTCTGCTCCTGGATTGGGCCCTGCGCCATTCCTGGTCTTGGGTCCCCAGACACCTGGGGAACTGGTGCGGCTTCCTGATCGTTTTCAACCAGGCCAGCTTGGTGCCTTCCTTGGGCCCCAGGAGCATTGCTTCCTCAGGACCTGGCCCCACCCTCACCTCTCCCTGCTTCCCGGACCTGCACGACTGG